GATTTAGAAGACAGTTTTAGCATCTGAAGAGTGTCAGAGGAAAAGCAGCAGTAGCAGAACCAGTAGCCAAAGTATAAGGCAGAGTGGTGGATTTCCCAGCCCACAAAGCAAGTAAAACTGAGTGCTTTGGGGTAGGAGGCTGGCTGGTGAAGTAGAAGTCTAGGGACCCTTAATTAGGGAAGCTGGGCTTAATGACTCATGGAAATAGAGCTGAGTGCCTTCAGGCTGAGGTTTACTGGGGTAGGGTGTTTCTGGGCATTTAAATCAGAAATCTGGGTTTCGCTGACCTGCAGAGCTTAAGCTGTATATTTTCTGGGTGAGTCTTTTTTTTTGGCGGGGGGGAAGCAGGGGTTATGTTCTGAACTTTTTTTAAAAATCATTTTATTGGGAGCTCATACAACTCTTATCATAATCCATACATACATCAATTGTGTAAAGCACATTTGTACATTCGTTGCCCTCATCATTCTCAAAACATTTGCTCTCCACTTAAGCCCCTGCCATCAGCTCCTCATTTCCCCCCTCCCTTCCTGCTCCCCACTCCCTCATGAACCCTTGATAATAAATTATTATTTTGTCATTTCTTAAACTGTCTGACATTTCCCTTCACCCACTTTTCTGTTGTCTGTCCCCCAGAAAGGAGATTATATATAGATCCCTGTAATCAGTTCCCCCTCTTCTACCCCACCCTCCCTCTACCCTCTCACTCTCTGTATTGCCACTCTCACCACTGGTCCTGATGGGATCATCTGTCCTGGTTCTCTGTGTTTCCAGTTCCTATCTGTACCAGTGTACATCCTCTGGTCTAGCTGGATTTGTAAGGTAGAATTGGGATCATGATAGTGGGTGGGGAGGAAGCATTTAGGAAATAGAGGAAAGTTGTATGTTTCATCGTTGCTACACTGCACCCTGACTGGCTCTTCCTCTCCCCTCTCCCCTTACCAACAGATGGGCTTTGGGTTCCCACACCCCAATCCCCCTCATTCACAATGATAGGATTTTTTTGTTCTTTAATGCCTAGCCTGGCATTACTTGTGAGCATCTATTAACAGCCCCTGAAAGAACTCTAGAACACATCTTCATTGAACATTTGTATCCTGAGCATGTCTCACCTATATTGCAACCTGTTAACTTCCTTAATAAACTCTATAATCATGAGCATTGTCTGTGAGTTCCGTATGACCATTGTACTGAATTGTAGAATCTACATGGAAAAGTAGAGAATGCTGTTTGTGATGGAACACACTGATAGACTTTTATGTTTACTATGTTAAGCACGTAACTATACCAATTGTGGATATGTGGTATATAAATCATTTTTTAAACGTTTTAAAATTAATGATATAAAGCAAGAGGGAAGATTATAAGAATTAGAATAAAAATCTGTTGCAACTCATTCAAAATACTATACTTTAAACCTATTTCTATAAATCATCCTATTGAGCTATCTAACAAAATACTCTCTATACCTCAATTTTAGAAACTAATCCCCTCCTTTAAAAAGAAATACAATTGACCTCCTTATGTTTCTACCTAGAAGGAATTACAGCCATTGAATTCATTAAACAATGTTGTGTTCTATGATTTGGAGTTCTTATTTATAACAGAATATAATCAATTCTGGCTGCAAGCAATCCTCCTTCAGGGCCTTTCTCAATATTGAGTTGCCAGTTATTTTGTAAAGTAATAACTAGCTTTCTAAATGGACTGAGGAAGTGTTCAAAATATTGAAAGATTAACATAGGGCAGAATATGGGATGAAGCCCATCATAAATTATTTTGCATTGGGGAACACAAGTGTATAACTAACAAGGACTATCACAATTTCCTTCCTATTTCTTAGTATAAAAAAAGGTTCCATAATTGGGAAATATATTCCTTCTTTCTTAATGAAGGTATGAGGATATAAAGCATTTTAAAAACAGTTTTGCTATCATAACAATTATTGTCTATTTTAAAGAGTTTTCAATTTTATAGGAATGCCATTAATTTCATATATATCTACTTAATTATGCATTTTTGCTTGACCATTTCACACTGAATAACATGAGTACAGAACCAAGATAACAAAGGAAGAAGGCCCACACTCTCATCCTCATCCAGCCAGCAAAAACTCAGAAGCATTTTGTATATGTAACTAAAACAGCCTAAAAGTAGAACTTCAACATTCTGCCTTGAGTTTAGAATCATGTTTAATTTTAAAGCAGCCTTTTCTAACAATAGATGCCTTTTCTAACCTTGATACTACTCATTTTTTAGTTTGTTAGGTGCCATCGAATCAGTTCTGACCATAGCAATCCTATGCACAACAGAACAAAACACTGTCCAATCCAAACCATCCTCACAATTGTTCCTGTTCATGAACCCATTGTTGGCAGCCACTGTGTTAATCCATCTCGTGGAGGGCCTTTCTATTTTTTGGTGCCCCTCTACTTTGCCAGGCATGATGTCCTTCTCCAGGGACTGATCTCTCCTGACGACATGCCTGTCTCTATACCTTAAAGAAGACATTCTTTCTCTGAGGTCCAGCTAGTATATGATATCTCAATCTATTCCCAAAGGTGTTTTAACTGTGGCCAAGTAGATTCATGTTGGAATAGCTTATGTGTGAAGGTTTCCGATGCACAGCAATATGGAATAATCCTTACAATAGACCCCCAGAAACATACATGATTTAGGAAGCAATTTTACTTACAAGTTTCTGCACATAAAAAAACTGTCCTGCCATTTTTTAGCAACAATTCTTTAATACAATAATGAACAAGTACCTTTAACCTTTAACAATTCTTTAATACAATAATGAGCAGGTACCTTTACTTGCCTATCCCTGCTAAATCACCACTGTTAGATACCTCCCCTTATGAGTTCATAATCTTTAGCTTCTTCTCTAATTGTACAAAAATGTTTTCTTCCTCATGGTCAGATAGGACAGTTACTTTCCTCCATATATCTTGATATCTTACAGGTTAACCCCTCTCTAGACTTTCAATACATTTCTAAGTATTATTTTTGTAGAGTATGAATTTTCTCACTATAATAAGCAAAAAATGTACACACTAGTATTGGTGGAATTCTGTAAACAACAGTAAGATCGTGGGGGTTGGAGGAAGGCTTGCAGAATGCTAGGAAGACTTTGCGACTATTTTTCTTTTGGGAACTAACTGGAACACCACCTCCGTTTCCTGCTCAGCAGCCAGCTATCAATGGAGAAACTATTCCAG